GGGTTTAGGGCTTAGGATTTTGGGTTTAGGGCTTAGGATTTCGGGTTTAGGGTTTAGGGCTTAGGATTTTGGGTTTAGGGCTTAGGATTTCGGGTTTAGGGTTTAGGGCTTAGGGTATAGAGTTTAGGGTTTTCAATTTAGGGTTTAGCATTTCGGGTTTAGGGTTTAGGGCTTAGGGTATAGAGTTTAGGGTTTTCAATGTAGGGTTTAGGGTTCAGGGTATAGAGTTTAGGGTTTAGAGTTTAGGGTTCAGCATTCTCGTTTGTGGAGGAGATGTCCTGATTCTCCCGCCTGGCTGGTGGCATCAGACGCCGCCGCCTCGGCACTCATTTCCCGAGCTGGTCGACATGTGATCTCACATGGTCAGCTTTCGCGACGTGTTGTTCCCATGCATGGCTCAAGCTTCTCCGTGGATGGTTTCTTTCGCTGCTGTTGGTGAAGCAAGAGAGACAGCCGGGCCCAAAAGCCTCCTGGATTTTTTTTGGAAATCCGAATTCCGAAGCCAGATTGGGAATCATACCAACACCGCTCTGAAGCTTGGAACTCCCATGACAACCAGGTGGAGGAATGGTGGGGTCGGAGTATTCGGTAATGGTATCCCCTTTTATAGGGCTCTTACAAGTATACTACAGTATCCACCCAAACCGTTTTCTATTAATCATGTTAGCTTATACAGGACTACAACATCCACCCAAACCGTTTTCTACAAAGTATGTTAGCTTATATAGGGCCCTGACAAGTATACTGCAAAATCCATCCAAGCCGTTTTCTACAACTTATGCTAGCTTATACCTGGCGGAGCCAGTCCCGACGGCTCCCCAGTTCCCTTGCACCCGAAGTCGTGCAGTATCAGCGGAGCGAGGCTTAAGGCAGTTTCTGTAATTCCTCCTGTTCTCACTTGTTCGCATTTTTGCTTCGGTAAACTTTATCTACATAGTCCGTTTTTGACACAGCCATCACCTAAGGTTGCAGAAGTAGCAGAGCGGCGCAGATCATGATTTCACTGGACTTCGCCCCAAAACCCGAATCGTGGAGACCCTAAAACCCTAAACCCTTATAAACCCTAAACCCCACACCCTAAACCCTAAACCCCAAGCCGCTAAGGTTGTGCAGAGTCGGTCCCGCGGCACTTGCGCTGACACCCTTCTTGACCGAGGTCTGCCGACCCCAGAGTTCAGTGTAGAACACTCTTCTGTCTGGTGCTTAGTAGGGAATGGGGGAATGGGTTATAGGGACTACTATAAGGAACCTTAAGTGACGATCATAGGGATCCATTCCCCCATTGCCTTCTAAGCACCAGACTGTCTTGGGTTCAGGGTTTATCCTGAACCCCAGACTTTAGTGTCGAGGGTTTAAGGGGTTCAGGGTTTAGGGTTGAGGGTTTAGGGTTTAGGGTAAGATGCTACAGTATATTATCATCTTACTACATTAATGGTATACTCTAAACCCGAAACCGTCATTAACATAGAAGCCGAAATAATTACCAATATTACTGTTATTTTTCGTTATATTGTAATAATACTCTAAAGGAGCCCAATACCCTATTCTAAGTCTTAAGGCCCCTAAACCCTAAACCCTGATAGTAGCCCCTTATAGAACCGTTTAATATGAAGGAACCCTATGAGGCCTTATTCGAATTCGCGAAGGCCCCCCGTACATTACATCGTGCCCTAAACCCTCAACCCTGAATCCTGAACCCTGAACCCTAAACCCTAGACTCTAAAACCCTGAGCCCTAAACCCTAAACCCTAAGCCCTAAACTCTAAACCCTAAACCCTAAACCCTAAGCCCTAAACCCTAATCCCTAAACCCTAAACTGCTGTGTCGTTTTACTTTCTCAAGTTTTCGGGATCTCCAGGGCTCGGTGCCGGATCAAGATTGGACCGCGTTTTCTAGGTATTCGGTAGGATCTTGTCGTTTTTGTCGGTTTAAGTGCTAGGGTTCAGGGGTTCAGGCGTTTTAGGGTTTAGGGGTTTCGGGTTTTAGGGTTTAGGGTGCATGCTTTGTCCATGTCTATGTCTGCCCATGTGAAGGCCACCATTCCACTCTCTCTGGCGGAGCTGTCAAAGCATGGCTTCGTAACTGAGGCCAGTCGTCCGATTCGGTAAACCCTAAACCCTAAACCCTAAACCCTCAAGCTTGCCGGGCCGTAAGCCGTAAACCCGAACCCTCACCCCGAAGGGTAACCCGAAGCACTCAACCCTAAACCCTAAACCCTTTATAAACCCTAAACCCTAAACCCTACACCCTAAACCCCAAGCCCTAAACCCCCTGAAACCATGGAGGCATCCGGAAAGGCAGCTCCTGCGGACGTCCTGCGGGCTTGCCTATCCACCGTAGTTCGCAGTGGCCAACTTGGGCAAGGCCCGAGTGCGGCATAAGCAGACAGCTCAGGGTAATATGATATATAAGTATACATATACATATATATAGATATATACATATATATATATATATATACATATGTATATATACTGTATAGTAGGATAGGACTCATGCTATAGTTGCGGTCCTTAGGGTTACGGCTTGCTGTCAAGGGCTTGCAGTGTTTGGCACTGGCTAAGATCCACTGCGCAGGGACTTGGCCCTTTGTACTCTCGGCACTGAGTGGCGAGAAGGAGGAGGTGCGATTTATGAAAGCCTCTTCTCGGATTTAAACCTGAAGCTACTCTTCTCCTTATTGGCGACAAGCATTGTACTCGCTCTTAGATTGCTACCACTGCTGCTATGAATCTGTTGGACTTCTGCTCACCTTCTTCTGCCTTGTAAGCCCTGCATTCCTTCGCAGGCAGAGCTGCCTTTCCAGGACCGGCTGTGGAAGCTGGTCAAGGTCAGCAAGTACACAGATTCGGAGTTGCGGAGTTGGGGCGAGCAAGTACTGCACTGCAGAGAACGTGGGGTTAATAGTGCAGAGATGTCTAGGTTGATGGTGAAAGAGTAGCAAGAACAGAGAGCTCTTTGTGTGGATAGTGTGCATGTACGTACATACGTAGGTATGCCTGTCTGTCTGTCTGTCTGTCTGTCTGTCTGTCTGTCTGTCTGTCTGTCTGTCTGTCTGTTTGTCTCCATGTATGTATGTAGGTATGTATGTATGTAGGTATGTATGTAAGTAAGTATGTATGTTTGTTTGTTTGCATATATATATATAGATATTTATATACATGTTGTATATACACCTGCATATGTCAAGTTTCTATTTTACTTATGTGATGCTGACTTGGATGTATTACGATAGTTTGATTTGAGACCAAGAGGGGTTTGTCAGGATAACAGCATCTTTCATAAACAAACTAAGTACAGGCAACAGTCCTAGTCACAATTATACGGATGATGTTCTTCACAAGTCCAGATTTCAACGCCACCCCTCTGCCGCTCCCGTCGGGCCGAGTGGTGTTGGATGTGCAGGCCCACTAAACCCTAACTCCCAAATCCCTAAACTCCCAAACCCGTAAACCCTAAACGCTACGACCCCTAGATCCCAACGCAACACCACCCTAGATTGATTCTACGATAGGGGCCTCAACAACACCTCAATAATGCCTGTACTATTCTTTTGGGGGGGTTGGGGGGGGGGTCCTTTTTATATTTGTAGTATAATGTACCCAAAACCCTATTCTAATTAACTTTAAAGGAACCCTTTAAGGAACCCCAAAACCCTGCTCCAATTATTAAGGCCCTATATTAAACCCTAAACCCTGAACCCCTGAACCCCCTTATAAACCCTAGACCCTAAAGTCCCTGAACCCCTGAACCCCTTCATAAACCCTAGACCCTGAACATTAGGCGCAGCCCGCCTTTGCAAGCAGCGGAGCCGTCTTGCCAGCGGATGCCAAGAGCTGGTCCCAAGAGTCCTTGAGGAGGCGACGGAGCGGGGCAAACCCGGGTTTAGGGTTTCGGGGTTT